TGGCCGATTGCTAAGGGCTGTGCAGTCTCTTTACTGTGACTGTAAAGCCTGTGTGCGGGTAGGGCATGACCTGTCACCCATGTTTAGCGTCCAAACGGGCGTAAAACAGGGTTGTGTCATGTCTTCCTGGCTGTTCATACTGTATCTCGACAGCTGTTTACAAAAGCTGAAAGATAGCTGTTTGGGTGTGAAATTGGGTGACATAAAAGTAAATTGTCTGCTGTATGCTGATGATGCAGTGCTTATTGCACCATCAGAGGCAGAACTGCAGGCATTAGTCACGTGTATGAAAGAGGAATGTGAAATTAAAGGTCTCCGTTTGAATGCTAATAAAACTAAGGTTCTGGTATTTGAAAGGGACGAAGAGAGAACGAAGTGTGAAATATGGGTAAATCAGGAATGTCTAGAACAGGTAAATGAAATTGTATACTTGGGGAGTGCTTTTAGCCGGGATGGAAGATGTGATTTAGATGTGGACAGGCGTGTCGCTGCCGGGAACAAAGTCAATGGTGCCCTGACTGCGTTAGTCAAAAGGCAAGGCGTAGCGAAGAGTGCACGCCTTGCAATACATAACGCAGTGTTGGTACCGACTTTGTTATATGGCAGCGAAACCTGGGTATGCCAGAAGAAGCATAAAAGTAAGTTGAATGCAGTGGAGATGCGATCTCTTCGTAAAATGTGCGGCGTTACTATGGCCGACCGAAAGCGAAACGAAGAGATTCGCAATATGGCAGGTTTGAAAGATGACCTTATCACAAAAATTGATAAGGGCGTGCTTCGGTGGTTTGGGCACGTTGAGCGAATGAGTGAAGACCGAATGGTGAAGAAAATATATAGCGCGAAAGTTAATATTAAAAGGTGTCGAGGTAGACCGAGACTAACTTTCGAAGACCATGTGAGCAAATTGCTCGAAGAGGGTAGGGTCAAGAGTACTCGGATACCTAGACGTGCATGTATGAAGAAGATAATGAATCTGAAAGAAGCGAAAGAGATATGTAAGGATCGTGACACATGGCGATCTGTTCTCTCTGGCTACCCCGTCAGGGATTGTGCGTGAAGATAAGTAAGTAAGTACGTATAAGAAATTTTATAAATCTTATCTAATCTATGAGATAGTTTAACCGTATAAAGTACTTGAATGTTCCTTGTTTGAGTTTTTAAACCCTTTTGTAGCTCTATTTGCAAAAGTTTTTATTTATGAGCCTTTATTACATTTTAGAATAAACCATGCACGTTTGTTAATCTTGAAGAACAAAGTATTAAAAAACGAAAAGTTGATGAGCAATCACTTGTGACATCAAAACTACCTCAGACTATAGCGCGTGACTTAAAACTGGCTTCATCTTCTTCGGAACACGATCCTGTGACACCTGCCTCAAGTTTTACACATAAGTTACAAGATACACCACGAAAACGAAAATTGAAGCAACGCTTACAACAAAAAAGAAATCATATTAAAAGGCTCCAATCACAAAAACGCTATTTAAAAAAAAAGTTGTTGGTTTGCAAGAGTTATTAAATGAACTATCCGGAAAATCTTTGATAAGTAAAGAAAATAAAGTTGTTTTACAAAATATTGGGGTTGAACAAAGTGAACTCATAAACAGACAGCTGCTTAAAACTAAAACGGGGCATCTACCTAGGACTAAGTATTCTCCAGAACTCAGATGTTTTGCTTTAACTTTACATTACTATTCACCGAAAGCTTATCGATATGTGCGCAAAACATTTGGAACGTGTCTGCCCTCACCACGTACTATAACAAAGTGGTATAGTACAATTGATGGCTGACCTGGCTTCACAAAGGAAGCGTTAACCGCTTTAAAACTTAGAGCAGAGAGTAACCCTGACAAGAAATTGTATTGTACATTAGTGATAGATGAAATGAAAATAAAACAATTGACGGAGTACCATGCAAGTTCTAAAAGACATTTTGGTTATGTTAATTATGGATTTGACTTCATTTCTGACAATTCGGAGGAGGCCACTGATGCTTTAGTATTTTTGTTAGTGGGTATTAATACTACTTGGAAAGTACCCATTGGGTACTTCTTAGTAAAGGGTACAAGTGCTGACCTAAAAGCACGACTGGTGACCCAAGCTTTACATCTAGTTCATGAAACCGGAGTTTACATCAAAGCATTGACATGCGACGGTACGAAGGCAAATCTTGCTATGGCTGAAGAGTTAGGCTGTTGTTTAAATACAGAAAATTTTCAGACTGTTATATTAGATCCACGTACGGGGCACAAAATTTTCTTTTTTCTAGATCCCTGCCATATGCTGAAACTGGTACGTAATGCTTTTGAGTTTTATAAATATTTTATCCAAAGTGCTTCTGGTGATAAAATCCGGTGGTCACATTTGCAAAATATGCATGAGTTACAGGAGAATGAACTTTTTTACATGGCAAATAAATTAAAAGCTAATCATATATATTTTAAAACTAAAATAATGAATGTCCGGCTAGCAGCCCAACTCTTCAGCACTAGTGTAGCAAATGCCTTATTATTTTGCAAAAATGTACTAAATTTACCTTTATTTGAAGACGTTGCGCCCACAGCAAATTTTTTAAAGTTAATTAATGATGTTTTTGATATTCTCGACTCAAAAACTTGGTCTAAAAGATTTAAACAAGCATTAAATTTTAATAACTATGAAAGAAACTTTGCCAGGTTGGACGAGGCTAAAGATGTTCTATTAAACTTAGAAACCAATGTAATTTCTCGTAATAATGTATACAAGCGAGTTAATCTTTTAAAGAGTCCTCGGTACACAGGATTTTTAGGGTTTCTTGTATGCATTGAAAGTGCTAAACGCATATTTAACGATCTAGTATTAGGTCCAAACGCTTCACTTACCTATTTACCACTACACAAAATTAGCCAAGACCATATAGAAATTTTATTTTCAAACATCAGAAGTCATGGTGGTCATTCTGATAATCCCTCCGCACGTCAATTAGAAGCTATTTATAAAAAGTTGTTAATACATACCAAATTGATTCGAACTGAAAGAGGCACTAACTGCATACCCTTAGAAAAGATTTCTATTCTTAATTGTTCATCAGCTGTTGATAGAATAAATTTGACCAGCCGAAAAGAGGACACAGACTTGGATGTCATCACGAGCAGTGGAATAACTGAAGAAAATATGGTAGCGGACATAGAGACTTACACCTATTTGTCACCTTTTGGCGAAAAAGTGGTCGAATATATAGCGGGTTTTGTTGTTTTTAGTATAATAAAAAAAATTAAGTGTAGCACATGCATTAAAGCTCTTCTGGGTGTACCGGACGAAAGTAGTTTAATTTATCAGACAAGTAGAGGTGGTTTAATGTATGCATCTAAAGAGGTAATTAATTTGTGTCGTCTTTGTGAAATAGAAATTAGAAGAAACTTAACTCCTGACAAAAAGGTTAACCAGTCATGCTCAACGATAGTTATTAGAAATAAAATACTGAAACGTTTTGTTGGCAAGCAATTTTTAAGCATACAGGAACATTATTTTGATAATGATTACGTTCCACATAACATTGAACTGGCAAACTTGGTGATGGAAAAATATGCTAGCACTAGAATTAGCTACCTCGCAAAAAAGAGTGATCCCAAAAAGTGCATTCGTCACATATATACCAAACTTATTCACTTTAAAAACCAGTAAAAACATAATATAATTTAATTAAATTAATATATTAATTAATTAAATTTAATTATATTATGTTTTTACTGATAAATTAATTTAATGTAATTTTTCACTTTGTTTTAATTTTGATAATTTTGTATTATTATTTTGTACCTTATATATTTTTTTAATTTACTTTGAATGTTATATAACACATTAAACATACTTTAGTCTTATTGTTCATTTTTATTTTATTTAATTTGCTAATGTAACTTGCATAAAATATCATCGACATATCCATATCGACAAGGCCCTCGCACTAGTTGTTAATGCTTTTATTACTGTAACGATGAGACATTTATGAGATTTTCAAGGTTGTGTGCGTTTTGCTTAATCGTGTGCTCATATTATGCTGTGTGCGTGCGTAACGACGTGGCCCAATGTTTTCGATTTACTTAGTGTGCGTTACCTCGCCTCCCGCTAGAAGTGACAGACTTTTTTGTTTGGAACTTTATGCGCATGGCGTCTCCTGTTAGTTGAATACTCTAACGGCCGGTCTCAATTCCCTACAATCAGTTATAAGTAGATAGCTAACCAAGGTAAACAGTTAAGTTTAAACTATCTGTTACTGTCGTCTCAATATCGTAATGTTCGAAAGCTTACTAGAGATAAAAGGCAGATAGTTCATGATAACTTTGGTTAATGCGTCCCTCCTAAGCGTTTTGTTTTTGCTTCGAAGTGAATTGCGTCGCGTTCTACAAGAAAATATAATGATGTATTTAAAATATTATGATAAATATATAATGTTTTTAATTATTTTTGTTATTATTTCTTAATATAATATTGGCAATTATCCTTTATACACATTTTTAAATTAAGGCTTTCTTCAAATAATGATAAACTTTTATATTAAAATACGAGGAAACGATACGAAGCAACAAAACACAGCGCTTGGCGTTGCTTGACTTGACAATTGACGTTGACAGTTTGTGTACACCACCACAACCAAACCTCAAGAAGCTCAGCAGAAATATACTACACATAATATAATTGTTTATGTGTAGCATTAATTTATTAGCGATAAACATTAACATGGTTCAAAAAATACTGTAAGTATTGTGAACTCTTTGCCGTGATATATAAATTTACAGTAATGTTACAAAAGCTTGAGTCTTTGTCTCAAAGTCGCGCCAAAAATGTAAGACACCTGTAAAATTTTGTTTCAGATGAAGACAAGGGCCCTTGGTAAGGACGAAATACTCTTTCTGCTTGACTTGATTTCCAAGCAAAAAGTAATTACTACTAAAGCTACGAATGCCACAAATAATAAATTAAAGGAAGAGGCTTGGAAATCTATAGCGCAGGAGTTTAGTGCGATGGCGGGAGAATTGCGGCGTCCTGAGCAACTACGCTTAAAGTGGGAAAACTTAAAGAAGTCGTCAAGAAAACGCAATGCATTGATAAGACAAAATAATTTAAAGGTTTGTAATAAGTACATACATTAAATATTTTGTGACATTTTGTTAGATATACCTAATCATCTTAGAATTTTTTTTTAATGTAATATTTCTATTGAAACATTTTTATTTGCAGACTGGAGGTGGAAAGATGTACAGCCCTCCCGATGAAGCACTAGATCGTGTAACATCTATGTTAGGTGCAACATGCACGGGGTTCACTGTGGAATTTGGTGGTGATGGGGAAAGTGAAATGATTCCACCAGATGCAGTGGTGGAACTCATGGACTTACAACCTTTACCGGAGCATTCAGAAGCTGTAACTAGTGATTTGGTGATGGGAGATGGTGGTAGTGCTGAGTGTGGTGGTAATAGTGAGAAAATTTTCACACCAAAAAGATTTACTTTTAATAATCCTTACAAACCCTGTAAGTTGTAGCTGTAATATTTAACCTCAGTTGTTACTAGATAATTTATAATTTTGTACAACCAACTTCAATATAAATTATTAAGAATAACTCAAAAACTATTGGTCAGACCTTGATCAAATTTATATGAGACCACATATGAAGCACCAGCTTTTAAATAAAAAAAGAATCATAGAAATCGGTTCACCCAGTAAAAAGTTATGAAGTAACACACATAAAAAAAACATACAGTCGAATTGAGCACTGGCTCCTTTTTAAAGTCCGTAGACAAAACAGACCGCCTCTCTATGGTCTAGTAGTGTGATTGCTTGTTGCAGGTTTTGCTACAACTTTGTGTATTTTTTTCTGGTTAATGAGGAAAATCTAAAGGCTTACCACTCAATTGTCTGACAAATAAGATAAATTGTGAAATAGGCTATAGTAGTTGGTTCTGGGTAATCTCTAATGTAGTTTGGATAGTAGTTGTTACTAATGTTTTTTTATGTCATCTCCTATGCCCGATATCTGTGGTCATCAGTCATCAATTCTATCAAGCTAGGAGAGTGTAAAATATGAGAATTTAACTATGTTTTTTATTTTCACAGTAAAGAAACGCCAAAAACCCTCTGAAGAACTATTACAAAACTGAAGTGGTTAAACTTGAAAAAGTTAAACTGCAGCTAGAAATAGAAAAATTAAACAAGTGACTTGTGATTACTATAGTACTAATGTTAAGATTTTGTAAATAGTGATAATAAGGTGTATTTTTTATAAATTATGTAATGTTTTTGTTAAGTTCATTCTAAAATAAAATCTATTTTATACATTGATTTTTATTTGACATTTATTAAATAAAATATATATTGAAATAAAGCATAATTTAACATTATTTACACATTAAAATTCTTATATAATTAAACATAATTTAAACACTAAAATAATTATTAATTAGCTGTTGTCTGACACTGTGATTTTGTTGACCTATCCCTTCAGCATAGGTAATGTCACCTGATTCTTGCGGCATTGCAACTTCTGGATCTACATCTCTAATATTATTTAATCTGCAGATGTTGTGTAATACAGAAGTGGCAATAATAATGGCCTGTGTTGTCTGCATAGCTACACGGATTTTTAAAGAGAGTATTGGAAAGCGCCTTTTCCACACACCAAAACATCTGAAAAGTTACAAAGTATTTTATATTATATTCATGAAATTTAAAAAAAAATATTAATAAAATAATATTTACCTTTCAATAGTATTTCTAGTCTTTATATGTGCTTCATTGTAATGATTCTCTGCAACAGATGTGGGGTTGAGCAGTGGTGTCAAAAGATATGAAGTACAGGGATATGCACTGTCTCCAATAAGCCATCTATTGCCAAACAATCCCTCTTCACATTGCACTGAAAATAAATAACAAAGAAATATTAATCATGTTTATGTGATGACCTATTATTATAATCTTCTAGATAACTAAGTACCTACTTACTTTTTAGCCTAGAGTTGTTAAATATAGTAGCATCATGAGCAGACCCAGGCCAACGGGCAACAACATTCATAAATAACAAGTCTGCGTTACAGACTCCTTGGACATTCATTGAAAATATGCCTTTTCTATTTCTGTATTCTTCTCCTATATTTGAATCTGCAAAAATTATGACTGTTATTAGGTATAATCTATATAAATAAATGAATCTATACTTAATAATATTATAATAAAGAATTGTATGCATGTTTGTAGAAGTTGATCCAATTCTGGCCAAACTTGGATTAAGTTCTACGTTTGAGTTTCAGGTCACTAGATGGCCTACGAAAAAGATTCTACCTAGATCTACTTTATATAAATATTTATTTATTTGGTACTACTAACCAGGTGACTGTATGGGAACATGCGTGCAGTCAATTGCGCCAAGAATTCTTGGAAATCCTGCGATTTCATGAAAGGCATTCTGGGTATTGCTTAATGTCTTCACATATTGAGGGTATAAGCCAGCTATAGCCCGAGATACATGATGCACAATTCGGCTGGCTGAAGCTTTCGATACACCAATAAAGTCCGCTACTGATAAAAGCATTGTTCCCAGTGCATAAAATCTCAAGGTCAGCAACAACTGATGTAACGGTGATATTCCATTATTCCTAAAATGTTAAATATAAGTAAAAAAAATCACAATAACTGTCATTCATATTATGTTGGGTGGCATATTTCGACGATACATATAATGTAACCAAATTTTGTTCACAAGTTTCTTTACTCACCTTGAAGAAATTACTTTTAAGGATGGTGTTATTTTCAATAATAACTCATCCACGGACGTTTTATTTAATCTAAATCTATATGTAAATTCAGAGTCAGAAAATTCACTTCTGTAATTTATTCGATTATAAAGTCGGCGATTTTCAGTATCTACAATACCTTCTGAATCAAAAACACCTATCTCATACATTTCATTATCACTTTCATCACTGAACAAATCCATTTTTTAGATATTAAATAGGTTTTATTTATTTAAAATCACGACAAATATTTGCTAACTCTCAAAATTGGGCGATAGACAAAACTCTAACATCTGGTAATTTGAACTATCGCCAGTTAACTGCCAATACGTTATTGAAACAGTCAGATGTTTTTTTCTATGAACCCACTTAACTCAGGTAGTCGGTAAGTCCTCCGAAGGATAGATCAATGTGATGGTTAAACATTTCTATCTATCTTTGATTATTGAAACGGAAAAATGTAACTATAGATACCAATGGTAGCCATTTTAACTTCCAGTAAGAGATAGATAAGTTATTGAGACCGGCCGTAAGAAAACAAAGGATAAACGTCTCCAGTATTATATATTAGTCTATGGATAAAAGTATGGCAGATTTAAGAAAGAGAAATAAAAATATTATTAGGAATGAGCAATTAAAGAACGATCTTAACAGTAGCAAGGATAAACAGTAAATTACACTTCTTTTTTAGATTCATAATTTTTATTGTTTTTAATGTATAATATTTATATATGTACGCAATGTTTTTATTGTGAAAATATTTTTAATTTCGCTTTCAAGCTGTAACAACATGCAATAGTGTTTTGTTCTTGTGGTACCCAAAGCAGATACAATACTAGTGCATATGCAGCGTTGCACTCCCAAAGCCTGAAATTTTTCGTAATTAGCAGGGTTAAACTTAAATGCGTACGAGATAAGTTTGGTTAAAAAATATGTACTAAGTACTTCGTTCTTGTATGTAACAACTTCTTTACATGCCAATGTTAGTTGCATGGGGTACAACCTGCTAATTGGTCAATAAGCCTTTGACGACGAACTAATTGTGGTAATCCGGTCTATAACTTTTAATCCTGAACTTCGTAGACATAATGGAGTGCTACCAGTGTGACAGTATTAGCTCTGTTCTTACCAAACCAATTACAATACCAAAGGTTCATTTATAGTGTTAAAAAAGAAGTGACGCTTAATTTACATGATGTATTTATTTTTTCAGAACAACTAAAAATAACTTGATACTAAGAGTTCTTTCAAGAATAGTGGTTATAACTTCTCTCCTAATTGTAGTTTATTTTACATCCAAAAATGACAAGCTTATAACATTTGCAAAACAGTCAGAGCTGTTGGCTGGTAAAGGCCAGATAATAGATTGTTCTTATGAATATGTGAAGGAAATAGATAAGTATGAAGGATGCTTTCCCAAAGATTGTAAGAGATTTGTCACTGATACAGTAATTTCAGAAAGAGAATCTGAAGAATTATTACAAATAGCGAAGAAAGGTCTTAAATATGGTGGATCTTCCGGTGGAGCCTCTATCCTCGATTTACATAATGGAGCATTGTCTAAAGGAAAATATTTTATTGACATTTACAAAAAAGACGATATGAAGAATTTATTTTCTGAGAAAGACTTCAATGTTTTCAGGGTAAAGTCTTGCACATCAGTGACAAAATTAATAAAATTGATATGCTTTAAAATTACATTTTTAATGTTATGCTTTATTATAGGCTGTGAAAGAGAAAATTAAATATACAATTTCTCATCATTTTGGTGTGTATCCTGATAAGATTTATTTGACAAAACCAACATTTTTTTCTGAAATTACATCTAAAAATGCAGTAACAATTCACGATGAATACTGGCATCCACATGTAGATAAAGTAAGTTAAGTCCAACAATATTATGATTGTCTTGAATAAGGTGCTTGCTAATAGTGGATCACATTTTATTGAGCATGTGCAGAATGTTTATCTTTTTCATATTTAGGAATATATTCAATATGGCTATGAACATCTTGATTAGGCATTAAATTATTGGAACAAAGTTCTTTATGAAACTGTAAGAATTTGGCGGATGGGGGCTTGGCAAGAAAAGGTGTAAGATTTTTCCGTCACAACCCCTTATGACGTACTGTAGATGGCCTAGGTGGCTATAGGTGGGTGGGTATAAGGAACCGAGATGGAATAATATCCATCTCCCTCACACTTTTTTTATCTTGGCATGAAAGAAATATTATTTTATTTTAAATGACGCTTCATTTTAATAGAGCTAGTAGTTTAGTTTACGAAGGGCTGTTCACAGCAAATCCACGATTATGCACGTATTTTGCGTGTGGGCAGGAATAATGTGATTATTCAAAGCTCAACAGTCCTTTGATGTTGCATTCAAATAAGGGGAGTGATCCCGGCGTTCCAAGATGTTTAGCCCTGTACGTAGCGACCTCCGGACATTTCAGTAGCACGTGCTACATGGTAGTATGCCCACGTGGACCGCCGTTTCTTCCTCCCCCATACATGCCCTGCACAGGGGCTATCTGTAATACCTATAGTAAATAAATGTTTGTTAAAGGTACCGTGTCATGTGATAGCACTTGTTACTATCCTGATCTGCGGCTTGTTCAGTCTAATTAGAACTTTGGTTAAACAACTGTTTATTTCAGGCAGGGCCTCCCTAGCTTGTCTACAGTCTACTAAATTTTTCCAAAGCTGAGCATGTTGATTAGTGAAGTGTCTACGTACCAGTGAACGAACATTAGATAGAGCTAGTAATTCATTTATTTGTATTTGTTAATCAATAATATAATACATTTATCAATAATAATATACCACAAAAGGTACTTAGTTCCAAGTGAGTGTTCCACAACACTCACACATATTTTTTATTTTAATCAATCTACACTGAATGTTTTTATACAGTGCTTAAAAATAAGCCATTAAATTATTAGTGTTGTGGTCCTTTGAGGATTGCACTTGTGCATTATTATCATATTAGTTTTATTGCTTTGGTTTTTTTAATGTTTTAGCATGGCACATATAGGCTATGAGAGGCTCTGGTGGCATAAGAAATGTCAACCCCGAAGGTATTTCAAAGGATGACTATTGTAAAATAGCTAGACTGGTGGTAATGAGCAGTGCTTAAACAAGATACAACTCACTCCTTTGACTCTCATTAGTACTATGATCTGAATGTGATCAAGAGTAGCAATAATACTCCAGCAGCAACCCAGCACATCTACTATACATTTCTTAAAAAATTTGTTTACACTCACTACCACACTGAGCATGCAGTTTGATGAGAGTGAGCCTATTTAAACTATAGCAACTGGAAAATAGAAACAATATTACAAGGCTTTATTATTTGGGTTCACGTTGAAAATTTAGATACGTTTTTTGTTGTTAATTAGTTGTCAGAAGAGATTTTGTGTGGTGTGTCGAGACAGGACAAATCCCCCAACATATCTTTGGCGCAATTGAGTATAGTTATTCTATTTCCCGATGAAGTTTTGACTTAGGTTGTTGTTAACGTAGCGTGAGTAGGCTGCGGGTGCTCAATTTTTAAAGAAATTACGTCACAAGATAGTACCGTAAGGCTGCGTTTCCACCAGAGATGTGCTAGGTAGCTGGGCGGTGCGAGAATGCGTAGCAAGGCTGTGGAACGATGTGAGCGTTTCCACCAGAGATGTGCTAAACCGCTAAGCGGTGCGAGAATGCGTAGCGACGCTGTGAAATGGTGCGCAGATGAGGGGTGCGAGGATGTGTAACGTGCTCGTTTCAGATGCGAGCGGGGTGAGGTTGAGGTGTGATGGGAGCGGAGTACGCGCGCCACTGCCCGCTGCTTCTTGCGTCCTTCCCTAGCATACATCCCTCGCAACACATCCCTCACACACATTCCTCGCAACTCATCCCTCGCACACCATCCTTCCATTGTTTTGTATATACAAAAACCTCGCTCCACTGAGCCGTTTCCACCAGAGCTACGCTGAGCGAGGCTAAGTAAATGAAGTGATTCTATTCGTTCATAACAAACACATACCTCGCACATCTCTGGTGGAAATGCAGCCTAAAACCTGGAAACTGCCATTTTTGGAAGTACTTAAAAATCTAGGATCAATTTTCCAACAAAAAAGGTACTCTCAGACTGGGCTTCAGTGTTAAATGTGACAATATATTCTTCATACGTTTAGTATTTATTAGTGATTTTCGATTAAAAATGGAATGCGGGTTCAAATCACGCACAGTACAAGTACTTGTGTGGCCTGCAAATAAGTACTATAGGTCTAGATGTATGTTCTCTTGTGTAATTTATGTTTGTAAACTACCCCCACGATACAGGAGAAAAACCTAAATGTACTATGTACTTTAGCACGAGGTTACCGATATCGCGAATTTATTTGTTTTATTGGGGAAAAATAAATGTAATAAGATACTAACATAGCATAGTAAATGTTTACTTACACCACGATGTATGAAAATTTTATATTACACCTACCTACTGATACACGTGGTAACTCAGGGGTAAAGCAATAAAAAAAACGCTCCTCATAATTTTCACAGTACGCAAGCAGTCCGCTTTCGAACCCAGCTGGTACCATTGCTCAAATCAATTTCAATACTCAATTTACTCTGGGCATTGTCAGTGTGTTTAAAGGCACGTAGGCGGTAACGTGATCGGCGGTGAAGGAAAGCACAACCTGACTCAAGCAAATTTACATATTAAAAGAGGAATGATGTCCAGCTTTGAATTGTGAATCGATGAATAAATTGGCCGAGTATATATGTGAATATTTCTACTTTTTGCATGGCTTTTCGTAAATTTTATACTGATTTGTGGTTTTTTTTGTGCCCGTAAAAGTACTCCTAATTATATAAGTGTCCTAATTATTTTGCAACTATAAACTATATTATAAGTTATAATAACTATAGTTTATTTGTAAAATGGGTAGTTATAATTTATAATATATGGCGGCTATAGGGGCGACGATAAGTTACTAGCCCAGGGCGCTGTTGATATTGAATCTGCCACTGGTCGCAGAAATGAAAACCAACGGAGTATCCCTGTCATATAGCCGAGACCGCGCTTAGGTAAACTCAATGGGGGACTCCCTCTAGCTGCATAGAGCGACGTTCTGTGTAAAGCGGCTGGTAGCAATTCGATGCGTGAAGTGGAAAATAGAGCTAAGTAGGACACTCACGTGGCGAAATGGGGGGGATGAATTAAACTCTACACTACATTAAGAACAGTATAGCTATAAGCATAAGACAGTGAACTAGTGACGCGCCGATCTTTCCGTAGATCGGATCTACTAGGCTGGCTGACAAATCGTGTCCAAATTTTCTCAGAAACACAAGACAAAAGTGTGCAATCAATAAATATTGCCAGTGATGACTTTAAGAACCGAAACGTTATCATTAACTGCTCTTTAGCTGTGAGGAAAATCAAATTAACTGATTGTTCAAGGAATTTCTCCTCGGAATAAATTCCGTAACGAGGTTATCCGCAGAAGAACAAGAGTAACTGACACAGCCCAGCGGATCAGTTAGTTGAAGTTTCAAAGAAGCAGCAATTTATGGGGAAGAAAGTATCTCGAGTAGCTGCCTCGTACTAGTTTTGGGCGAACCCCAATTTTGTTTGAGTGACAACCTGATGAAACACGCAGCTACTCAATGGATACAGGTGGCTCAGGGTCGTACTATGTGGCAATCTCTGGGGGAGGCCTATGTTCAAGCCGATGTTTAGAAATTACACATTTATTTTGAAGTTAATTTAATTATATTTTATTTGCAGGAGACTTATAAATCATTCCATTACACAACATTACTTTATTTGAGTGATTACAATATTGACTTTAAAGGAGGTAGATTTGTGTTTGTGGATGACAAATATAATCGGACAATCGAGCCAAGAAAAGGACGGTTAAGCATGTTTACTAGCGGCGCTGAAAATCTACACTATGTTGAAAAAGTTACGTCGGGAGTAAGATATGCAATGACTATTTCATTTACTTGCGATATAAACTATGCTATAGAAGATCCAAGTGTAAATAAATATGTTCATTAACATTCCAAGAACTTGTTTTATTTTATGACATTAAGGCTAAGCACGGCAAAGATCGGTAGGGGGTCCGCGACACTTGGAGAATATAATGAATGTAGATATATAAAGGCGACGAGACATTACTATAAGTATCTAAATTTCACGACGCGATTTATGTCCGGTGGGCAGCTAGTAGGATTGCGCAAGCCGCGGTCGCCCACGCGCTGTTTGCTCGTAAACGGTTAGGGCGAGGGCTCTTGGCGGCGTAGCCTTTCCTGGCAACCCATCCATCGCAAACAATTCGACTTGCGACAATCTCTTGCCTTGCTTGTGGGCGTTACGACACAAAACTGCGGCACGAATCCACACAAAACAGCGATATCGTGAGCTTCGAAACAAATAACAGTTCCTTTTTACAGGCTCTCTTGGTCCTCTTTCCACTACAGGCGTGGGTAAATATAGCTTCGTGAGTTCTTAGCCTATTATAATGCACATACATTTTATTCGCAAAATCACGTAATCTTTACGAGTCTTATGTCATTTCAAGGTTTTAACCTCCTGAAGACGAGACATAAGAATTTCATTATTCTTAAACAAGTGATAATTTTTCCTTTTAATAACAGACTCGTGTGGATTGGTGCCATGAAATGCGTCTACGTTTTGAAAACCGGGCATTTAGGCGTGTTTCAGAAATCGTTACTGGTGACGAGACATGGATCTATCAATATGACTCGGAAAATAAAATGCAATCATCGCGGTATGGGTCTACTCAGAAGGACAGTTACCGACAAACTGCAAAGACTTCGCAACGTCGGCAAAACAATGGTGGCTAGTTTTTTTTCGCGGAGCGGACATTTGTCGACGTCAATGCTGGAAAATTGTAGGTCAGTCAACTCTGAATGGTATACTACAGTTGCATTACCCAAAGCTTTTCAAGCTCTGCGGGAGATAAGACCGGACTTCGAAGAGTAAAGACTGGACTTCGGGGAATCATGCTGCATCACGATAATGCCTTCACATACCTCCCTTTGAACAAAAGCATTTATTGAGGAATCTGGTGTTGAAACTTTAGTCACCCACCCTACAGCCCTGACTGAGCTCATTGAGATCTTTTTGTTCCCAAGAGTCAAAGAAAAAATAAAAGGCAAGTTTTTTTTTCAAGCGCCGAAGAAGCCGTTGCTGCCTACGAAGAAGCGATTTCCGACCAGTCAGATCAAGAATGGCAAAAGTGTTTTCGGACTTGGTTTAGGCTTTAGGCGAATGTAACTTTGTATAGAGTATGATGGAGAATATTTTGAAAAGATGTAAAATTAATAGTATCTATATATACTTTTTGTGTATCTTAAAACTTATTGAGTGTCCTACGTATTATCTAGCCATCTTGTAATGGCAATTCGATTACTATTTAGACAAGCAACTTCAGATGCGCCTCGATTTTTTTTTAATGAAACAATTGTCATGTGTCAATGATATTATGTCTTTGAAAACGATTTTTCATAATATTTTCTGTTGCGTTGAATCCTCTTTTTAGTAATTCTTCCATCAGCTCAATAGAAGACAAGTATATCTGTCAACAAAAAGATAGTGTCCAGGAACCAATGATTCCGTCTTTTTCAGAACAGCAACTTCTAAGCTGAAACCATGTTATCTCACCATATACGTTCATATCACAAATAAGGCCACATGGATTCGCGGGAACAAATTTTTTTTAACCGACGGGATTACTTTTATTAGGACAGTATTGTCTAATATCGCAATGATAGCTTTCTGCCTTTTACTGCATGTGACAACCCTTGACAATTCGATCGAAACGTGGTCTTATCTTCCATATGCGGTCTTGAGCCCGCTGTTCTTCTGTTACATCATCGTCATATACAATCTTTAAACATGTACGTATTATCATCGTCATATACAATCTTTAAACGTGTACGTATTAGGAAAATCTATCTCGAGTCATCGAATTAGCCATCAGTGGAATACGCCATGAGCTTTCCCAGTACATTTTTATTTGCGCATAATTGATCCTCGACATGACCATATTTATCCCAATAAATACTTTTAGTTCACGAATCTATATTTTTTTGGGTAAGTAAAACAGATGTTTGATTTATGGCCCTAATCATTGATCAAAAATTTCATCATCTTAATAATCATCTAAAAACTTAAACCAGTCCCACTCGTCTAGTTCTCTATGAATATAATTTGTACTTTGCAAATGTGTCACAAATGGATTAAAATCTGCTACGGAATTTATTGCTGACAGAACAGACGCTTCGCCTTCAGATTCACATGTTTCTTGTACCCTTAGTACTCCGTCTCTTGTCCCTCTGCTGTTTCTTGCTCGTCCTCTTATTAGTCTTCTTGAAACCCGCTGTGTAGCTCTACTTTCAGTGATACTACTGGCAATAAACAGTGCTGGAGATTGTGAGTGGTAAAAATGATCAGGTAATATATTATCTTCATTGTCTGAATCATAACTACTGGATATCAACCTATTTTGTCGATTTCTCTCTAAGTATGGGTGATATGATGGATTATTATCCGAATCAGCACTAAAATCTCAATCTGATGAATTCAAAACTTCAAAAATTTCACTTTCGTTCATAGCTGTAAATAATTAAAAATTTTGTACAGCCGACTTCAATATAAGTTATTAAGAATAACACAAAAACTATTGGTCTGACCTTGATCAAGTCATATGGAACCACACGAGAAGTACCAGCTTTCAAATAAAAAAAGAATCATCTAAATCGGTTCACCCAGTAAAAAGTTATGAGGTAACACACAGAAAAAAAAAACAAAAACATACAGTCGAATTGAGTACTGTCTCCTTTTTGGTAGTACGGCAGAAAAACACATTTACTATACGGAACGAATGAGTCAAATAGGGAACATCGTTGAAAAACGGCATTACAGGTTATTTTTTTTATTTTTTTTTTTGCTTTTGCATCAAATAGAATTTCAATATTATTAAGTTATTGAGTCATTTTTCAGACGGTACGAATTTGGCGGATGGGGACTAAGCGAGAAAAAGTGTAAGCTTTTTCCGTCACGAATATCCTATTAATTAACAATGATTTATATAATATTGTATTTTAATGGCAACACTGCGTCGGTGGTCAACACTCTGTCTGTTATGAAGTGTTTACGCCCGAACGCTGGTTCCGGAATCGACGTCAGAGGGCGCGCGGCTCGGTGCTATACCGGTTTGACGTTCGGGCTAGCTTGGGTGTGGCGAGCGCGCGCTAGCGCAAAGGAGTCGTCTGCCAGCTGTGCTAACGTCAGCATGCTGTCAATTTTTGTGCGGGAACCGCGGAATAGTTTAGGCGTCTAGTAAATATCCTGTCTAGGATTTGTAACACGCATTCCTTGTTGGATAGCCTTTCCCGGGACTTATTGTGTCCGACTCAGAAAGCGGCCTTTGATATTCTAGATTCAATCACCACCAGTCACACCCAGATACACATCACAGCATCTTATTTCCCCTGCACTACACAACCACATGCGACCTGACCGAATCCTGAGGGACCAGTCGCCTTGGATATAAGTAAGTAAGCTTCGTTTAATATTCTCCCTGTTGAATGGCAGTAGTATAGAACGCTCCCCCTTATTGTTTAGTGTAATTAGAGATTTTCCACTTTGGCCTTAGGAGGCCCGACCTATATCTGCTTGTAAGGTCTTCCGCTATGGGCCCGAAAGATTCTATTCTTATTTAGGCAGCTGTAGGCCGTAACAAACTGGTAGTAGAGCGCGGTTCCGTGTTCGATTCCCCGGTCGATCCCGACCAGGTGTTTGATAAAAATTAAACAATTTTGGTGGCAGGGAGCGTTTATTTGATTGGTTTAATTTGTTTCTACAATCACGCCCGGCCATAATACGTAAAATTAAAATTCTTTTCTTTTGTTGCTTTGTTGCTTGCCTTTTTTTGTTGTTAGTGGGTAGTTGCGAATGCCACGCCCTAGGTTGCGCAAGCGGGAGTTTTCCTAGAGGTATACGTCATGTAGGTAGATGGTTATTATCACGTAATCGGTTAATTATCGTTGTCGGATAGTTGTAGTGGATTGCTTATCGAAGGGTCGATTTCCGAGCGAGGTATTTTTTGTTGATCGACCGTGATCTGTATCTTTAGTCGTATTGTAATTCGTATTTGAGCTAAAGAGTAGTAATTTGTATTTGCGCAATTTGAATTTAACTTGATTTGATCGCACTAGTATTTATTATATTTGTTAATTTGATTTGTGTCTTTTCTTTTGTGCTAACTTGTATTTGGTTTGATAAGTAGTAATTCGTATTTGTGTAATTTCTATTCAAATCGATTTGATAGGAACTGCATTTGTTAACTGTTAATTTTTTGTTGTATTTGTTATTTGTTATCTTTGTAATTTGTGCTCGAGCCGCGTCGTAATTTGTATTTTGTAGTGATGTCATCGCCCAAGCTACTAATCCGTTGCCTGCGGACTGAGTTACGCTGGGCCACCAGCGCCCATGCTTTGATAGGTCGACCGGATAGGGTCCATAACTTAATGAAGCGGTTCGAGCAGGTCGATGCTCGAAGGGCCGCAGCGGAGGAGGCTTACGCTGAGCTCGAGGATTCGGATGTGGAAAAGGGAGTCACGGACTCCTGCTTCGCGGACTACGAGCAGTTCTTTTCGCTCACGGACGAGTTGATCGAGGCTGAAGGCAGGTATGCCGAGGAGGCGCGTGAAGCTCGGATGAGTGGCCTGCCCGAGTCCTCTCGGAAGCACCCTCAGCCGGAGCTGTTGGGACGACTCCCAACTCTGGATCTGCCAAGGTTCTCCGGGGTCCTTTCCGAATGGCTGACCTTCGTTAGTCTTTTCGACAGCCTAGTGGACGCCCGGAGAAACTTGACCCCGAGCCAGAAGATGGCGTACCTCCTGGCCTCACTGGAGGGGGAGGCCCTGGGCGTCGTCGGCCACTTGAGATTGTCGGACGACGCCTACCAGACTGCTCGGGACCTCCTAGCGAGAAGATACGCCAACGTCCGGCGAATTGCGAACGAACAT